TTTCCAACTTGTCCCACAATGTTTTGGCATTGGTCTCATTAACAATGTGATTAAAAACATTGTCCTCTACCAATTGCCTTATGAAACCACATACTTGTCGATGCTCTAATTCCCAATCTGCATCACTAGTTTCAACATCAGGCTTTGCCGCAGAAAACACTGGCCCATGTAACTTCTTCACATATAGAAGATCAGTTATCTTCCCTTTCCAAATATGATAGTTTGTTCCATCTAAGCAAATCATTTTTCCCAAGTTCACATCCATCTTTCAATGGTAAGTAACACTCCCAAAAAACCTTGCTCATATACCACTTTATGTTGGGAGAATACCGGAAGAAGGCAAAAAATGCAAACCAAACTTAGATTCGATGTACTCCTTAGGCGTGGTCACGCCTAAACAGTGTGTTCAAACTGTTCCACCAAAACCTTTGCCTTCAATAAATTATTTTTCTACCAAAAAGAAGATGGATGATAACCACAAATAAACAACGGAAATAACAATATGAGACACCAAAAATTTTAACGTGAAAAACTCTTTCAAAGTGAAGGATAAAAACCACGAGGCCTATCACCCGACCCAAGGCAAAATCCACTATCTCAAAAAAGGTTCGTACAATCAAAGATAACTACAACTAAAAGGGCTATCAAACTCCACACCCAAATACAAGAATCGAACCTCAATCACAAGAGATCTCCCAATTACTAACAACCCATTCCAATCCTCAACCGATAAGATTCAAAATTGAATCCAAACAAATAAGAAAAAATCAACGATACCAAAAGGAACATCCGAAGATGACGAGACCGTTGATCGGAACCGAGCTGAAGAAATTCTCTCTTGCTTGTTGATTCTCTCGCATGCGTGGATAACGATTGTATCTCTCAATCTCTACACCCAATTGACCCTTCTCCCAACTAAGATGGCTAGGGCAACAATTGGCAAAAAAGTGGATTCTCAATTTATTTTTTTTTTGGGCTAACTTGAATTGTTGGGCCTCCACACATAGAAGGAACCCAAACCCAACAATCGATTACGAAATCTTCTTATGACATAAGGGATCTGGGTCTTGAAGGTGGCGAAGGAAAGAGCGGCGGAAGTGATGGGCAGGGTTATGGTTTGAGAAATTAAGTTCCCTAAATAGGGCACCTCTTAAAGCAGTTGGTTGTGAGGTAGAAACTGTTCACCCTAACCAGTCGCTGTCAACTCCAACGGCCTCAGAGTCGGCTAATAGAAATAATCCTCTTGGGGAGTCTCCGTTTTACATCTCCGAAGATGCATTAGGGTCGGTAGAAGAGACTCCCCTTGGGCATAAAGCTGGAGATTTTAGTTATGTTATCCATCGTAAGAAAAAGAAATTTAGTCGAAGGCATTGCTCCGGATGTGCCAATCATCAACATGGAAATGATGATCTATTTGGACTCCAAAAGTGGATAATGAGGTGGCAAAAATGTCAAGTGGTTCAGATACAATTAATTCTGCAAACATGGGCGTCAGAGTTGTCAATAAGGGAGGAGTTTCCAAAGAGATAGAAACATCGAATGCTTTTAGAGCTCCAATGGGTGGGAGCTCGTCGCATAGTGTTGTCAAAGAATTCAAGATATAAAAGACAATAAAACTCCATTTTCAAAGTTACATAAGTCTTCTTACTTCGGAATTTTCAAAACAGCCTCCTCCTCAGCCTCAATTCACCACGGAATGAATCTGAAAATTTCAGATTTTGCAACCACTAGTAGCTGTTGTATGCAGATTTTTATCGAATGCCCTCAATTATCGATCCTTAAATCAAATCAATCCAACACAGTCTGCAATCAGCCCTTGGAGGTTGTTCGTGTCTTGTCTAAATTATTGATTAATTCTAAAATTATCATAAGAAATAAACTCACAACTCATCTTACTCAAATCTCCTAGACAGTTCGCAATTCACCAATCATATATTAACTATGTATACAAATTCGACAACTAAGTCCAATCTAAACTAAATCCAAATTCCAACATAAATTTTAATCTAATCACAACTACAATAAACATCAACAGGATGACATAATCCAATAAGGAATTAAAGGCACAATCTAATCCCAAAATAGCCCTGCAAAATTTCAGATTATTAGTATTATGTTTGAAATTTAAAAATTCGATGAAAATAGGCAAGAGAATGTAATACAACCTTTTCTCGATGTTTACCATCTCTATGTGGAAGGAATAATGGAGGATTTAGAAGCTGTTGGAAATGGGGAAGGTGACGGGCGACTTCATCATCGCGGTGAGGGAGAAGAAATTACGTTACATGAATTGTGGGATTAAAGTAAAGGATTAGGGTTGGAATTACCGGTTGTTGATTTGAAATTTGAAGTCTCTCTCTCCCAGGACTATGATTTGGGAATTTTCTTTGTAGACGCCGTCGAATGAAATGAACTTTTGTCCAAAATAAAGAAGAATAAATTCATCATTTCGCTTGCAGGAGGGGCTGGTCTGCGCCACTTTACATACAGTCGTTTCGCTGCACTTGCCTGAAATTGGCTTCGCTTGCGGACCGCTCACCTTTCCTGCTTGTTTTCGCCGCTTGGCTGACGAAGGAATTTGGAGAATTGCGTAGGCGGCGACCCCAAGGCTTCAGTGGTGGTTTCCTACGGCTAGGAGAAGACATCATCCTTCACATCTCTAGTAGCAACGGTGTAGAGAGGTCTCGAGTCACCGCTTGCGTGGGGAGTTCACAAGAACGGACGTCCACTTCAATTTTTATCATACAAAAGGGACGAGCGGATTATCGGCTAAAGTCCTGAATGAACATAAAATTATTATTAATATTATTTATTATTACAGTTATTATTATTATTAGTAATATTATTTATTTATTTATTTATTATTATATATAGAAGAGAAATAACACAGAGCAGCGGCAAAGGCCGAGGCGCTGCTGCAGATTTTTATTTTTATTTTTTTGAATTTTTTTTTTATTTTCTCCGAAAAATACATTGCCGTGCAGGTTTGATTCTTGAAGGATATCGCACTCTCGAAACCTACAAAGTATACCTCTAAAAATTATATTATTAAACTAGATAGAAATATGAGAGAAAAGAAATGCAGAAAATGAAGTGTATGAAATGTATATTATTGTGTATATGAGTGTATATATGGTGTATATGGGTGTTTAGAGGGGATATTTATAGAGCGAAAAGCTTCTAGAAGCTTCGCGGTTGCAACCGCCCATAAATAACTACTAACTACTTTTAAAAATAGCTACTAACTACCTCTAAAAATAACTATAAATAACTACCTCTAAAAATAACCATAAATAACTACATTTAAAAATAACTACTAACTACCTCTAAAAATAACAACTAATATAACTACTAATAACTTACTAAAAACTACCTATTTTCTAGAAAGTTCTAGAATAAATATTACAAAAATAGCCAAAAATTGGCTAAGTGATGATGCAAGAATCAAATATGGAGGCTGAGAGAGTGCAAAATTAAATGTACGGTGATCTGAATAAATGTAGGAGCTGAGGGAGGTTGGACGGATTTATTGCAGCCGCCGCTTGTTTTCCCCATAGCCGCCATCGCTCACTTTCATACAGAGATTTCCGCTCCGCTCACATTTTCGTGCAGGAGTTGCTGACGAAGCCAGTTTTGAACTCCCAAACAAGTTTTTGAAGCGTCATCTCACCTATATAAATAATAAACACCTTATAAATATTTATTTAAATAAATAATAAATAAAATTAATTTAACAAAAATTAAATACTAAATAGCACATAAATAATGCTTAAAACCAAAATAATTATAAATTACACATAAGATGAAATAAATACAATTATTAGAGTAAATTAAGCGTAAATAATACAAAATTTGACATAAATAAATAAGTAATTAAATAAATATAAATTATAAAATATGAAAAAGTACGGGAGGTGACGGCTGAAATTGAGAAGATGAAGCGCGAGTTCTTCTGGGGTGACGAGGACGACAAACAAAAATTACGTTGGATCAGATGGGAGATTATTCAAGCACCTCTTCGGTCGGGGGATATTAATAAACTGAATTTGGCTCTCTTATATAAATGGAAATGGAGGGATCGGCATGGAAACAGGTTGTATCGAGTCTACAATGTAGAAAAGAGGTGTGGAATTCTCGCCATCTCAAATAAACAACTCGTCAAGTTCACTTTGGGGATGGATTAATAAAGGGTGGTCTTCTTCTGAAGCGATTGCAAACCCGGTTTGTCATCTAAAAATTCTACTCGGAGACGGTGGAAAAACTCGATTCTGGGAAGATGTCTGGGTGGGAGATGAGGCTTTGAAAAGTAGATTTCCAAGAATATTTAATCTTTCTGTAAATAAGGTAGGCTTGGTTAATACTTTTGGTGAATGGACAGATGTAGGGTGGATTTGGCAGGTGCAACTTAGGAGGATTTTATTTGACTGGGAAAAAGATGTGTGGGAAGAGTTTTTAATTTCAATCTTCCCAATGGATTTTTCTCCTTACGTATAAAAGTTTACATGAGGCGTGGATGCTGATCCCAATGGCTGCAATCTGGAGTATTTGGCCAACTCGTAACAAGATGATTTTCCAAGGAAAATCAAGTTCTTCAGAGGAGATCCTGGAAAGGATTAAATGGAACGTCTGGAAGTGGATTTAAGGTAAATATCCATCGGCAACAATTTTATTTGGAGATCTATCTTTGATCCAGACGAGGAAATCGAAAACAATAAATGTTCACAGGATTAATGCCTCGTGGCTGCCCCCAAAAAGTGTGTGTTGGAAGATAAATGTGGATGGATCAACGCATGGAAATCCTGGGAATGCTGGAATTGGAGCGGTCATCCGAGATGAGAGGGGCATTGTTTTATTTCTTTTTTCTAAATTTATAGGCCTTGCAGACGCATGCCGCACAGAATTGGAAGCCGTGAGACAGATATCGTTTATTTTGGTAGACGATATCCATTCCCAAATACGGTGATTGAATGTGATTTCTTTTCATTGGTGTCATGGTTAAACGGAAGTTCGACTCCTCCGTGGAAATTAAATCGGGAGTTCCAGGAGGTGATGGCTATCTTAGATCATGCTATGGCCTTTGAAATTTGTCATGTTGTGAGAGAAAAAAATTTCTTCGCCGATAGCTTACCAAAGCGAGGGGCTGTAGGGAATTTTGGCCGCTAGAAAAGATCCGGTGAAAGAAGATTGATGTTCGTCAGTTCGATCAGTTCCCGGAGCTGTTTGTCGGACTCCCGGAGAAGATGGGCGGAGACGCTGGACGGCCGGAGATGAAGGCCGGAGCGTCACTGCTGCCAGATACGGCTGTTTCGGTGCGGATCGACAGAATCCGAAGCTGTTTGTTGGGAGGAGCTGCCACTGGTCGCGCGCTGCCGGAGAAGATGACCGTAGGGAGCTGGTCGCCAGAGTTGCTGAAAGCATTGTCGCCGGACACTTGAGGAAGATGACTGGAGCTGCCAGTCGCCACTGCTACTGGTCGGAGGATATGACCGGAGCTGCTGGTTGAGGAAGTCCGTCGGAGAAGACGCCGCTGTCCCGCAGCAACTAGCCGCCGACTGCCGGAGTTGCTGGCCGAAGTTTCAATCGGGTCGCCAGTCGCCGGAAGTGAAAGGATTGACGAAGGTTTCATCGATTGTCGTCGGCGTCGATTTTGGTACTGAGTTTAGCAGCTGGAAGATATGATTCTCCCCAATTTCAGAGAGGACAACGAACAGGGAGTATTGAAATTCAATTCTCAATTTGTTAAGCCTGTTTGTTGGTTTTTCTTGCTTTGATTCCCAGAATGTCTTTCCTAGCCTAAATCTAAATCTGTGTTTGATTAGTTTATTTTTTATTTCGGTTTGGTATTGTTTTGATTCGAATTCGGTTCTGTTAATTCACTGTAATATTTTTATATACGAAGTTTTATTCGATAAATCCAAAAAAATTCGGGAATAAATTCATAAAATACAAGTAAACACCTAATATTTCGACTTTCAACTTTTAAATATAAAATAATTTTAGCAATTTATTATATAATTAATTTTTTTTTTAATTATTAGTTTGAATAATAATTTAAATGTAATATTCTATAAGAATCAATAATATATTTTTATAAGATATTGTAAAGATTGTTTATTTATTTTGTATTTTGGTTTGAAAAAATATTTTTTTTATTTGATGCACAGATAATTATGTAGATAATATAAAAAATAATGACTAAACTATAATAATATATTAATTTTTTGGAAAAAAAAAGATATAAATCTTTTCATAAAATAACACTCTCGGAATAATAGAAATTTTATATATAAAAAAATTCAAAAGAATATACAACTTGAGCTTGTTTAATTTGTAAAACAAACACATATATATATATACTATGCAACTCACATGTTCTTGATAAATAAAATATATATATATATATTTTTTATAACAAAATATTATATTAAATTACTAATTAAAGTTATAGTCAAATAAAAATTTTAAACTCAAATACAAAAGTGTATTAGTAGAATGAAATTTAAATTATAAAAAATAAAAAAAATAAAAGAACTCTACAGGTTGGTTTGATTTTAATTTCAATTTTTTTGGAAGGTGTGGTCATATCTTCATTAAACAAGTGGATCAAAGCTCCAACAATTAATTTGGAGCAGATTTTCATTAAGGAAAATCCATTTTCAATAGTGTTTTAATTCTATTTTAAGAAATAGTTATCCTATCCTCTATATATATACATATATATATAACTATAGTGGGGTAGCTTTTTTTTTTTTTTTTTTTTTTTTTTTTTTTTTTTAATTCAGTTTGTGTATCATACTTTGTAAAATACGGTAATATGAATGCGTATTCTCTCAACAATTTAGCAAAATTAAAATATCGGCGATTAGTCTTCGGCGTTGGATTTCAGAAAGGTGTGTTAAAAGTTCGACAAAAGCTCGACAATAATTTGGTGACTTTGTCTTTTACTTATACTATATTTATTTTTAAATGCATTCTTTCTGAGAAAATTGCTTTTATTTTTAGATTTGATTAATCAATTCTGGATAAAATTTATTTTTAATATATTTTGCAGATATTTTCTATATTATTTACTTTGGAAATAAATCACGTTTTTTATAGAAGAAGATAACACATAATATTCATTTATTTTTTGATATATTTTATCGGTATTTTTTATTCTATTTAATTTGCAAATAAATCACATTTTCTAGGTAAACTATAAAATATAAAGATATTAATATAACATTGTTCTACGTGTTTTTTAAATTTTTATTTTACTTTTTTATTTTTGGTATATTTTGATTTTTATTGATTTAAAAAATTATAATTAAAATTAATTAATTTATTTTATTTTTAGTATTAATTATGACTAATCTTTTTAATTTTTAAGATTGATAAACAACCATTTATATAAAAATACAAATATTTAACCACATTAAATAATATTAATTATTTTCTATATATTATTTTTTTTAAAAAAATATTTTTTTTCTTATTTAATATAAATTAATTTTTTATTTTAAAATAAGAATATAAAAAATAGATAAAAATTATTTTATTTTATTTATTTCTCTTATTTTTTTAATTATATCTTATATACTCTTATCATTCAAATATTTTATTTGATATTAATTAATTATATATTATTTTAAAATAAATTTATATATTTATTAATTGAATATAAATTTTAGTGATAGATTCAATTGAAATCAAATTTTTATTTTTATGTTGTTATTTTAGTTCTTTTATTTCATAGTTTGACATTATTCTATTTTATGTTACATTTTATAAAATGTAGTTTGTTATTTGTGAAATATATATAGAAAATACAAATATAAAATTCATAATAAATATAATTATTTGATATATTTTTGCAATTTTTACTGTTTGTTATTTGTGAAATATATATAGAAAATACAAATATAAAATTCATAATAAATATAATTATTTGATATATTTTTGCAATTTTTACTATTTTGAATCAATATTATATGATTATTTATTAATAATTTTATATATCTTAAATTGATAATTTACTTATTTAAATATCTTCAATATAAAATTGAAACAAATAATTATTTAATATTTTGGTAAACTAAAATTAAATGTAAAAAATAAGTTTTATTTTTATTACATATTTTGTATATATTATAATGTGTTATTTGTTATAATACATAAAAAAAAAAATGATAAGTAATTCTATTTTTCTTTTTTGCATTAATAACTTGATTTGCATATTTTACTTGGGCGGATTATACAATTTTATAATTTTGCATTAGTATTTTAATTATCTAATACTTCTTACGTCCCAGCCATTTTGTCTCTTTTAACTTAGACACAATAATTTTATTTGAAATATAGTATGCAAAAAGTACGTAGATAATAGTTTTATAAATTTATATTTACATTGAAATTGAAATTAAAAATAAAAATTTATTCATTCTTATTTTTAAGAGAAAATATAGTTAATTATTTTAATTTTTTTTGAAATAAAAACTAATATTTAAACATACATGTATGATACAACATTATTTTAAGATAGTAATTATTTATACATTATTTATTATTTTTTAAAATATTTTAATTATAGATACACCCGTGCATAGCACATGTGTAAATGCTAGTATTAAAAATTTTAGTTTTTATATTTCAAAATTTATACTTTCTCCATCCACTTACAATGTTTACATTTACTTCTGCCGCGGTGTTTAAAAATAATAATATTTTAATTATAGTGAGTAGTTAAAAGTAGATGAATGACATTTTTGCCCTTACTTTTTTTTTGTGAAAAAGTAACGATGTGATGTAAAGTAATGGTATTTGTAAAAAAAAATAGAATATTTAATGAAATGTTAATTTTATAATTGGACATTTCAAAATAAAAATATATAAACATTGTAAGTGGACAAAGAGAGAGTACTAGATATCTATTTTCACATCCTAAACTATTACTACGTCACTTATTCGTTATCGCATAAATTAGTCATTTCATGCGTCGGCCTAATATCAAAAGTTTTTTAAAAACTCTATGGTGTGATTCAGTTTTGTTTTGATTATTTATTATTGTGTTTTATTCTTATTTAAATTACTATATATATATATATATTTATTAAAGTACGTGTTGAAAGAACAGTAAAGATATATATTGAATAAAAATTTAAAAAATAAAGGGCAAATATGTTTTTTTTAGTCTCGTAACTGACCCTTATCATTTTAGTCTCGTAAGTAGAGCCTGTCGCAAACTAGTCCGATAAGTGAAAAATTTTCGCTGTTTTAGTCCTCCGGCGCCGGAGACGCCCACGTGGTTCGCTGGAGGTGACGTGTCCGCCAAGTCAGCGACACCTGGCGGACACGTAGATTTTTTTTATTTTTTATTTTTAAAAAATTTTTTTTATTTATTTTTAATTTTATTTGTATTTTTTAATTTTTTTAATTTGCTCCAATTAAATTATTTGTATTTTTTAATTTTTTTAATTTGCTCCAATTAAAAAATTTTAATTTTTTTTAAAAAAAAAATCTACGTGTCCGCCAAGTGTCGCTGACCTGACGGGGCACCTGGCCGACACATCACCTCCGACGAGCCATGCGGGCGTCTCCGGCGCTAGACGACTAAAACAACGAAAATTTTTCACTTATGAAACTAGTTTGCGACTGGTTCCACTTACGATACTAAACTGATAAGGGGTCCAGTTACGAAACTAAAAAAACAGTTTACCCAAAAATAAATAAATTGAACCCTATAATTTGTTAATTGTAATTTATCTCATATATAGACACACACAAATCCAATCTTTTAATATATATATATATATATATATATTTTTTTTTTTTTAACAATTGTTAAATATATCATAAATGTACGCCTTCGGATAGAGATCTTTATGCTTGTTTGGCTAGATATATAAACTAAATAATAATACTCCATCGTTCAGGCTAATTTATTCTATTTAGTTTAGGTACAGAGTTTTATATATTAAATTAAAAAATTATAAATTATGAATTTTAAAATATAATTAAAATATATAATTGCATTTTTTTTAAAAAAAAAAATTATGCAAAACGAACGAAAATAAAAATAGTGGACAAATTAAGTGGAATGAAGGGAGTAGTATTTTACTATAAATTTATGAGGTACTATGAAAAGTTTATTAAAAAATTAATACTCCTTCTGTCCTACGTAATTTGTCCATATTTTCTATTTTCGTCCGTACCACATAACTTGTCATTTTTATTTTTGAAAATATAATTATTCACTTTATTCTTATTTTAAATTTTAAATTTTATAATTTTTTTAATTTTAATTAAACTATTTACTTATTTTAATCTTAATTTATAATTATTTTTACTAAATAATAATTAATTTTACTAAATAATAATTAATTTTACTAATTTACTTCTTAATTACTTACTAATTATACTTTACATAAATTTCCGTATCTATAATAATAGTCCCATATTTTCTGGGGCGGAGGGAGTAAACAATAGTGAAAGAAATAGGAAAAATATTAACATATTGATTATTATTTGAAAAGTATGAGTAATTTGAGTTTGTTTTTTTAGCAAAATTTCTCGAATTTCACTATTTGAACTCTGCGTTTTTTGAAAAAATTACATTTTTTTTTTTCAAAATATCTCATCAAACATTATTTTCGTACCAAAATTAAACTAAATTTGTACCAAACTTAAACTAAATTTTTTCCAAACTTATCGAAAAAAACACACCCAAAGTTTTAGGTGAATAAAATTATCAACTATAAATAAAATATACATAAGTTTAAGGTATAACAAAAAAAAATATAATTATCATGAACAGGAGAATAAAAAAAAAAAAAAAAGAAAAAAAAAAAGAAGAGAGTAGAGAGAGAGAGAGAAGGCAGCATAACCATGAAAAAACAAATTAAAATGAAAAATAACTTACCTAAAATCTAATTTTCAGGTTATTAGATTGGGTGTAGACTTACCTAGAATGCACTTGTTGTGTAGCAGCGGAGGGAGCAGACACATAAAATAACACAACATAGAATTAAAGAGCAAATGAATTAAGGTAAGAATTGTAATAGTTGCGACAAGCAAAGAAAAGAGAAGAGAAGAGCATGTAATTGAGTCGCACACAGCGTGGCACCATCGAAATATATGGATGGTGAAACGCCATGTGCGACCAAATTAAACCTCTTCCTTCCTTCCATCATCATCATCTTCTTCTTCTTCTTCTCTCTCTCTCTCTCTCTCTCTCTCTCTCTCTCTCTCTCTCTCTCTCTCTCTCTCTCTCTCTCTCTCTCTCTCTCTCTCTTCATTGTTTCTCACACCTATCTTTCTATCTATCTATTTATCTATCATGCACACAAAAATAATCTCCTACGTATAAATATATATATATATATAGTAGAAAGGAGAAAACATAAATAAATAAATAAATAAATAAATATCCCCCATAACCAAAAGGAATGGATAAATACGTACTGCCTACCACATACATACATATCACACACCTCTACATTATTACTGCCTCCCTCCGCATAACTTGTCCATATTTTTTATTTTCGTTCGTCCCACATAATTTATCTTTTTCTTTTTTGGAAAATTAATTATACACTTTTATCATATTTTAAAATTTAAAATTTAATTTTTTTTAATCTTAATTAAACTATTTAGTTATTTTAATCTTAATCTATAATTATTTTTACTGAATAATAATTATTTTTACTAATTATACTTTACCTAAATTTCGGTGTCTACAGTAATACACCCATATTACATAGGACGGAGGAAATATTAATTAATTTCTATCTATCTATCTATCGTCTATACATATACATAGTCTTGTAAGTAATGATTTAGTGCTGTGGAGTAAACTCGTATATTATTAGATTTAACCAAAAATTTATTCAAAATGCACTCAAAAAGTAGCAATGTCATAAAAAAAAAAAAAAAGAAAAAGAAAAAAAAAGAAAAAAACCCACATATACATATACAAAGGTGGACCACGGACCACGTACATTATTACATTACGTAAGTAAATAAAATGCATTCCTTAATTTTCTTGTACAGCTAAAATCTTTAAAGCTAAACATATACACTATACATATATATATATATGTATATTCTAAAATAATCTTTGTAGGAACGTAAGAACCTTCAAGAAATTATGGGTAGTGTTCTTTGAATCTTTTTCCACATTTTAAATAAATATTATTTAATTTTAAGTATTGTACTCCCTCCGTCCCATAACAAAGTATCAATTTTTCTATTTTAGTCCGTCACATAACAAAGTATCAATTTCCTTTTTAGTAACTGTACTATCTACCTAACATGACAAATACCCTTACAACTTACAATATATTACACAAATACCATTACCTTTGTATCACACATACTAATAAGGTTATTTTAGTCATTTCTACTTTATTCCTACTATATCCCAATATAATACTAATATTTTTAAAATTACGTGCAAAAAGCAAATGGATACTTAGTTCCGGGACGAAGGGAGTATTTTTTATTGAAATTTATGAAAGTCAAATAGTAAAATAAAAACATAAAAAAATGTAAATAAAATAAAAATCTAACAATTTTCAAAATACGCAAAAATACCTAATTAAATATATAATATATTTATTGAAATATATTACAATCATATACTCCTTCCGTCCCACATAATTTATCCCTATTTTCTATTTTCGTCCGTCCTACATAATTTGTCCATTTATTTTTTGGAAATATAATTATACACTTTAATCTCATTTTAAATTTTAAATTTTATAATTTTTTTAATTTTAATTAAACTATTTACTTATCTTAATCTTAATCCACAATTATTTTTATTATACGATAATTATTTTTACTAATATACTTCTTAATTACTTACTAATCACATTTAAAGTGAGGAGGTCGGATATGTCATATATATATATATAGGTGTGCGAATATATAGTTAAAATTTGAATTGAATAAATTTAATATGATGTAAATAAATATTTATCATACATTTTATATGGAATTTTTTTTACAATATAGTAATTAAAAATTAATTATTTAATTTAATAGCTTTAAAATAAATATTTTAATAAACAATACTCCCCCTCCGTCGTAGGTAAGATCCCATTTGGTTAGTAGTTTAGTACACAATACTTTAATAAATAAATAGTATAATTTAATATGTTAATTATAGTAATTATAATATTATTTTATAATTTTTATATAAGTTATGTTGTTATTATTTTTTTCAAATAAAAATTAATATATGATTAAAAAAATTTAAATATTTTAAGTACTATATCTCAATAATATAGATATAATTTTATAAAAAATAAATTTTTTATAATATAAATAAATAGAAAAATATATTTATTTATTATTTATAATTCATATAAATTAATTTTATAAAAAATTAATAATTTTAAATATAAATAAAAATATTCGATCTTCAAAATTTAATTTAATTAATTTATATTTATTAAGTAGATAATATTTATACGGCGAAACCGACATAATACATAAGTAATTAAAACAAAACTTAACAGGACAATTCTGTCCAAAGATAAGAGCAAGAGCAGAAAGACCAAACACAGCAACAGTGCATTGGGATGCTGCTTGCACATGCATATCTACGTGTAATCAAATCGTACGCATACTCCATACTATATTTATTAGACTTATATAAAAATAAAATATTATATATATTTTTTTTCAAATATTATTCAAATTATTATTCCAATTCAAATTAAAATTAAATAAACTTTTTTAATTACAAGCTTTCCAAGAGTAAAAAAGTAAAAAATTCAATAAAAAGAATATTATTTCAGGTACTTACATTAATATTTTTTAATTATACATAAATTTATACATAATTTAATAATTTTATTACCAACACCACCAAATCATTCCTTATAAAATAAAGTTTAATATTGTTATTAGTAGTGTCGTCAGTGCATGTGAAATCACGAGAATGCATGCAGACGTAGTGACCTTCAGACAAAGCCAAGTAACACTAACCAGCAGCCCCGTCACCATTTTCTATGTCCAACTGGATAACTCGCGTCCACAATGTCATAATAATAATAATAATAATAATAATAATAATACTCGTTCGGTTCACCTACTATGTTCATATTGCCGTTTCTGTCCGTTTTACATCCCATGTCATTTTCATTTTTTGAAAAATGATTACACACTTTAATTTTATTTTAAATTTTTAAATTTATTTTTTTAAAATTTTAAATTAAACTAATTAGTTATCTTAATTTAAATTTATAATTGTTTTTATTATAAGATAATTATTTTTACTAATACATTCTTAATTATCTACAAATTATACTTAACCTAAATTCTCATATCTACGGTGACTCAAATATCCAACGTGACACGGAGGAAGTAATATAATTCCTTCATTTCAATATAGTTAATACATTTTATTATTAATAGTAATACTAATAATATAATTCCTTCATTTCAATATTGTTAATACATGTTACTAGGAAATAATATTTAATTAGTTAATAATAGTGGATTATGATATTATTTTATTATATAATTAATAATATTAATAATTTTAAAATAAATTTAATGGCTTTGTTCTTTTAATATTTTTTTACATATTTTTTTAAAAAAAATTAATACACTACATACATTCATTATTTTTATATTCTCTATACAATTCCTTATACCTCACATAATTTTTTTTTTCCAAAAATCTCTCAAAACAAACACACTTATATATGATTAGAAAAATAAAATATATATTTAAATATTTTAAAAATTATATCACAATAAAAAATACATATAATATAAATACTCCCTCCGTTCCATTGAAAGGTTACCATTTTCTATTTTCGTCCGTCCCAAAACAGGGTTACTATTTCCTAATTTAGTAATTGTACTATCTACTTAACATAATAAATACCATTTCAACTTACAATATATAACACAAATGTCATTATTTTTATATTACACCATATTAATAGATGTATTTTTGTCTTTTTACTATAATCCAATATAATACTAATATTAAAAAATCTACATACAAAAAGCAAACGCCATCCTTCCAATGGAACGGAGAGAGTATTATTTTGTAGATAAGAAAATTTTTTAGATGCAAATAAATAAAAAATATATAATTAACCTAAACTAATTTTATAAAAGAAATAATATTTGAAATACAGATACAAATATTTATTTTTTTAAAAAAATAAAAATAATGAGATTTTTTAGGAGATCTTAATGGATAAAGATTGGTCTTATTTTTGGTTTTTCGATATAAAATATTCTCTTTGTTTCAATATCGTCCCAAAATAATAGTGTCATTTTCATAAATAACCATATAACTATAAAATTATCCCTACTTTTTCATTATTATTATACAATTGATACTATTTTTTACATTAATATACTCAAAAGGGGCAAAAAAGTCATTTATATATACTTTTAACTTACTACAAATATAATATCAATATTTATTAAATCACGCAATAAAATTATACTTTTGGGATGGAACTGAGTATAATATATAAATATAAATATAAATATTGATATTACAGTATCAGTATATGCGGCAGGTTTGTCGACTACTCTACGTGTAAACCTCTCAGCCTCCCATATTTTACGTCAACATTTGTGAAACCAGGTCAACAATTTCTTTCTAAATTCGGAAAGTTTTGCATTCCCAAATTTAGAAACTAGCAGCAACACAGGAGTACAATAAATAATACAACCCCTCTAATAATACAATCTCTCTTTCCATTACAGTTCTCAAAAAAAAAAAAAAAACTATAAAAATTGATTATTTTATTTAAAAAATATTTAAAATATTTTACGTTTTTTATTAATTAAATATTTTTTATTTTTATTTTTATTAAAATACAAGAGACTACTATATAATTATCGATTATTTTCATTTGCGTTTGTTTGAAGACAATTAACATTTTTTATTTTTGATAAAATTTTCTAAATTAAAATATATTTAATAAATATAAATCGATTTAATTAACTATATAATATATAATATTATACACCATGTAGGATCCCCTCAAAATTCTATTATTTTTATTTCTCTTTTTAAAAAAATAAATACTACTTTTATCTACATTTAAAACACCACATATTTTATAAATTTATTGAAATTATAGATAAAAAAGTACTTTTTTATTTACTTATATCATAGACAATTTATTCTCTATAAAATAATATTTATATTGCATATTTTTTTTATTGCGATATAATTTTTAAAATATTTAAATATATATTATAATATATTAAATATATTTAAAATTATCAATATTATTAATTATATAGAAGATAATAAAATAATATCATAACTCACTATTATTAACTCATTA